GCTGCTCTGCAGCATGTGGGATCTTCCCGGACCGGGGCACGAACCCGTGTCCCCTGCATCGGCAGGCGGACTCGCAACCACTGCGCCACCAGGGAAGCCCTGTATCTCATTTTTAGTATGTGTTTCACTTGTTGTGAGTGAAGTTGACCTTGATTTCATATGTTGAAGAACCATTTTTACATCTTTGCACACAGCCTGTTCATCTTTATTGTTCATTTTCCATCAGATTTTTGGTCTCTTTTCCTTGGCTTTTAAGAGCTCTTTATGTATTAAGGACATTAACTTTATTTGTGATATATATATATAGTCAAATATTTTCCTAATTTGTCCTTTGGCTTTGATATATTTTGCCATGCAGTTTTCTCCTTTTTATGTAATCAGATTTATCAGTCATTCCTTTTGTTGAATCTAGATTTTTTTCCTGAGTTATAGATGGTTTTTTTTGTTTTTTTTTTTTTTTGCGGTACGCGGGCCTCTCACTGCTGTGGCCTCTCCCGTTGCGGAGCACAGGCTCCGGACACGCAGGCCCAGTGGCCATGGCTCACAGGCCCAGCCGCTCCGCGGCATGTGGGATCCTCCTGGACCAGGGCACAAACCCGCGTCCCCTGCATTGGCAGGCAGACTCTCAACCACTGCGCCACCAGGGAAGCCCTATAGATGTTTTATTATGTTAAGGAAATATCCGCAAAATCCCATTTTGAGTGTTGACATCAAGAATGAGTGTTGGAATTTTTCAGTGTCTATGGAGATGATTATATGATTTTCTCCGTAAGTCTATTAATATGACATATATTGATATTCCTAAAATTGAAACATCCTTGCATTCCTTGAGAAATCTCTCTTGATTATCATATATTATTTTCTTAATGTAGTATGGGATCCTTTTCACTAATATTTTATTCAGAATTTTTACATCTCTATTCACATAAGAGGTACTGGTCTACAGTTTTTTTATGCTATCTTTATTCGGTATTAATATTGTATTTTTATTGCATTTTAAAAGTTTAGATATTAACATTATGCTTCATTCGTTTTCTATGCTCTGGAACAATTTATATAGCCTGGGGTCTATCTGATCTTTGAAGATTTGGTAGTTTCCCTCTTGAAACCTTTTGGGTCTTGATACTTGTGTGATTAGTTCCCTGATAATTTTCTCTATTTTTGCTATTGAAATTGGCTTGTTTAAGCTCTCAATTTCTAGTGAGGTTAGTTTTTTGTAAACTACTGTCCTAGGAAATTATTCATTTCATCTAGGTTTTCAATTTTGCTTGCATTTAAGTATGCAAAGTAATCTCTTTATGATTTTTTTGTTTTAATTTACTGTTTCAAGAGTTATTTTCTTCATTATCTCTTATTTTGTACATTTGTGCTCCTCCTACCACTTCTCTAATTAAGTTAACTAGGACTTTTTTTCAATTTTTTCAAAGAACTAGGATTCTGATTTTTAATTAGATCTGTGGTTTTTCTGTTCTTTACTTCATTACTTTCTACTTTTGTATTTACTGTTTCTTTTTGCTTTCTTTTGGTTTGCTCTGTTCTTTTTTTTTTAAATTTATTTATTTTTGGTTGAGTTGGGTCTTCATTGCTGCGCACGGGCTTTCTCTAGTTGCGGTGAGGAGGGCTACTCTTCCTTGTGGTGCGTGGGCTTCTCATTGCAGTGAATTCTCTTGTTGTGGAGCACAGTCTCTAGGTGCACGGGCCTCAGTAGTTGTGGCTCTCAGGCTCAGTAGTTGTGGCTTGCAGGCTCAGTAGCTGTGGCTCGGGGGCTCTAGGGCTCAGGCTCAGTAGTTGTGGCACACGGGCTTAGTTGTTCTGCGGCATGTGGGATCTTTCCGGCCCAGGGCTTGAACCCGTGTCCCCTGCACTGTGCCACCAGGGAAGTCCCTGCTCTGTTCTTTCTCTAGCTTTTTATTTGGGATCTATTTTCATTCTTTTAAGTTCTGTTGTATACATTTTTAAGGCTATGAACTTGCCTTTGAACACTGCTTTAGGTAAATCCCATAGATTCTGATATGTGGTGTTTTCATTATAATTTTCTAGAAATTTTTTTTCTGTTTTGTTGTTTTTTTTTTTAATCCAAGAGTTGTTTAATATAAGGCTCTTAAATTTCCATGTGGTATTTTGGTATTTATTAATATCTAATTTTATTGCCTTGTAATAGTTTTATAATATTTCTGCTTTATGTAATTGATGCTTTCTTTGGACCTAATAATATTTTTGTGCTCCATTTGCAAGTTTATTATCTGTTATCAGGTTTAAATTTCAATGTATATTTATAAAATCTGTATCCTCACTTTTTATCTACTTGACTTCTCATACTGACAACAGTGTATGAAAAATCTTTTATCAGTATATTTTTATTTTTTTCTTGCATCTTTTTCTCCTTTGTAGTGGTATTTACAGGGTTACTTGGTGACTAGATGTTTCTAACAGTTACATATTCATTATAAATTGTGGGATATAGCTTTACAAAGTAGCCTTCTTTATTCTTTGTAATACTTTGTAGAATGAATTCTACTGGTTTGCTAACAGGATTGCAGTCTCTGCTTTGTTATCATTTACTTGGTGTACCTTTGCTTGTCCCTTTACTTTTAGCCTTTTTAAATGACTGTTTTAGGTGTGTCTCTTGTAAACAACATAGAATTTTGGGTTTTGTTTTAGGAGCCAATTTGAAAATCTTTTTATTGTTACAGGTGAGTTAAGCCTGTTTCATATTGTTTGATATGTTTGGTTTCAATTCTGTCCTGTTATTTTGTGTTATTATTTCTGTGTGTTTTATTTTCTACTTAGTGTTCTTTCTTCTCTCTTTTAAAAATTTCTTTTGGTATTTAGGAATGTTTGTTTTTGTTCTAATGTTACCTTTATACTTATACCTTTTATAATGCCTTTTGTTTTTTTACTGTCTGGTTTGATAGGTTTAAATGGTACTTTTTGACTCCTGTCTTTACCCATACAGCAAGTGATGAGCTTATTTCTGTTTTCTCTTTTCTCTCACCTCATTCTCCCATTTTTGAATCTAGGTTTGTGTCTTTTGCCCAGTTTGGGAAGTTTTCCGTCATTATTTCTTCAGATATTTTTTTCAGCTTCACCTCTCTTTCTGGGACTCTATTGACATAAATGTTATTATATCTTTTGTTATCGTCCTACAATTCCCTAAAGCTCTGTTCATTCTTTGCAGTCTTTTTTTTTCTCGCCCAATTGGATGATTTGTATTGATCTGTCTTTGAGTTAGTTGATTTTGTTTTTTCTTTCCCTTCTACTATTGAGTCCTTCCAGTGAGTTTTAAATTTTGGTTACTGAGTTTATTAGTTTTAAAATCCATTTGGTTCTTCTTTATTTTTCCTATTTCTTTGCTGAGACTATATTTCATTTGTTTCAAATGTGTTCATAATTGCGTGCTAAAGTAGTTTAATGACAGTTACTTTAAAATCCTGTCAGATAATTCCAATATCTGCGTCATCTCAGTGTTGGCATCTGTTGACTTCCTTTTCGTTTCTCAGTTGAGGTGATCCTGGTTCTTGATATGATGAGTTATTTTCAGCTGTAGCCTGCATTTTGAGTGTTATGTTATGAGACCCTGATTTCTATTTAAATCTTGCTACCTGTTACTGCCAGACTTGGTAGTAGACAAGCTTCACTCACACACACAGCATCTGTAGACACCTTCCAGCAAGGAGGCTTTCCTTGTGGGGGTAGGATGGTACATGGATGGAGTTCTCAGGCATACCTTCTGTCCTCCCATTTGTCAAGTGCAATATTTCAGTTTTTCTGGAACATATAACATTTAAATTATTCTTCCACTCTTATCTTCACATTTGTGTTAGTTTTTGATCTACAGTGAAATATTTCTTCGGTTATCTCTTAGTTGAATGAAGGTCATCCTCTGGTAAAGGTGTCAGCAAATTTTTCTGTAGAAGACAGATAGTAAATCTGTAGGCTTTTTGAGCCACATGGTCTCTGCCCCACTAAAGTGGAGTCGTTTTACTAGGATATGTTACCTTTAAGCTCTTCACTCTGCTCTTCTCTGAAGTCTCACATAGCCTTAGGGCAGGAGGTCCAGACAAAAGGTAGAATTTAGTTTTTTCTCTTCTTACAGGTAATTTGAAATTTGTAGCATTCTCAGACTCCTAGCATTGTTGAAGTTGCAGGCTATATGTGGTTTTATTTGCTCTTGTTAATCCATATACTTTTTTGAAGGTTACATGGAGAGATTTGAATTCAGGTGGCTGCTGTTATTTTAGAGCAACTAATGTCTTTAATTTGAATATTCTAATAGGAAACATCTCTGGATTTCACATGACATCAGGCCTGTGCTTACATTCCTCTGTGAAGACACCAAGGAAAACTACATATAAGCTCTTTGACTTTGAATGAGTCAACAAACCTGAGCCTGTTTTTTGTTTTTTATTATTTGCAAAATTAGATGGGTGTAAGGCATGGTTTATACTGTATGCTCTTCAATTGGGACATTTTTCAAGAGATTTACAAATAATTAATTTTTTCCCCAAAGTTAAAATGCCAAGTCATTTCTTCTATGTTTACTTTAATAGTCTGAAAAATTACATTGCTAAACATGTTTAAAAACTACTAATATGGATAAATGATCTCTTTGGGCTCTTCTAAACTGGAAGCAGCATGATATATTGGTCTCATTCCATGTATAAAGTGTTTCCTTGTGATTATTGGGTATTTAGTTTGTGGGGGCAGGGAGAATTACTTTTCTGCCTATTTTTAAATTTATCTACCTAATAGATAGATATGGAAGTTGGGGTAGAAGTTGTCCCAGACTTCTGTGTCTCACTTTTGTGAAGAGTGGCCTGAGGTAGCCATTGAGAGAGTTTTATCTACTACGTAGTAGATGTATCAGCTTAGCAGATATTTTTGCTATCAAGCGAAAACAAAATTCAGTTACTTTTTATGTCACCATTCCATAAGTGTGTTATGTATCTCAAACATTCAAACAAATATATTAAATGGTAATTCTTTTTTACTTCCTGAAGATTCTTGTGGATACTGTTTGGGCACTGTCATACCTGACAGATGGAGGTAATGAGCAGATACAGATGGTTATTGATTCAGGGGTTGTGCCATTTCTTGTGCCCCTTCTGAGCCACCAGGAAGTGAAAGTTCAAGTAAGTACTTAAACATTTTTTCTTACTTGTGTAAAGTTTGTATTTGCTATAACCAGTTAACTTGTACAACCAGGCTTCAGTTCTGTCTATATGCACATTTCTTCAATATTTCTTGTGCTATTTTACTGAATCTGCTTTTGTTGATTTCTAAATCTTCATCTCATCCGGATTCTTTCCTGAGTTGCAGACTCATGTAGCCAATTGTCCTTGAGTCCTTAGACATATCCTCTAAGAACTCCATTGTCATTTCAACCAGACGGAAATGAACATACCATCTTCTCCCACAAACCTGTTCCTCTTCCTATATCCCCTTTCAGTGGACAGCATAGTCCAAGCTAGAAACCTTGATATTCCTCCTCTTGTCTCCCCTCCATTACAAAACCCTGTCAATCCTTATTATATAGCTTTCAAATCTGTTTTCTCCTTGTATCTAGAGCCACTGATTTAGTTCAAGATTTATTTTCTTTCCTCTGGATAATTGCAAAAGCTTCCAAACTGCATTTTCTCCTCTCCCTCTTGTTTCTCCTCACTCTAATTAGGGGTACATGGCTGATAGATCTGTTCATCCCACTTCTGCCAAAGTGACTTTCTAGATAGAAATGTGTGACCGTTAGAGGCCTTTATTAAAATCTGTGGTACCAGTTTACTAATAGGTAAAAATAGCTGTTAAAAAAGGACCTTGACAATTTTTATTTTAATATTTTTTCCAGCTATTTTCCACACAATTTTTCTATATAGTTCCAGTTTTCATAAAACTGTTGTTTAAAGTTCAAAACTACTTTCCAGTTCAGTGAAATGATTTGTGTAAGAATGCAGTAAATTTTAATCATTCACCCTTTGCATTTTTACATATTCTCAGGATTATAAAAACCATAGTATCAGTTTCATCATAAACAAATTTATAGAAAACATTTTATCCCCACCCCAGACAGCAGCACTCAGAGCGGTTGGCAACATAGTGACAGGTACCGACGAGCAGACCCAGGTGGTTCTCAACTGCGATGTCCTGTCACACTTCCCAAATCTCTTATCACACCCAAAAGAGAAGATAAATAAGGTAAGTCGTATAACAGCCTTGTCAGTGCATTTCTTTCTCTTTGTATATCTCAATTTTGACTGCCTTCTTGTTTCTGTTTCTATTCCTGTTTGCTTGTGATTCTCTTCAAAACCACTCTAGTTAAAGATGAGAATTATTTCAAATCACCTCTGCAGTTATTTTGTTTCAGTTGTTAATTGCTTGCTATTAAGTGCTGTCATGATCATCACAGAATAAAATTATTTGTATATTAACCAATTTTTTTATTTCAATAGATTGAGCAGTAGCAAATTAGTAGCCACTAGGTGAGAGTACATATGAAATTTTCCATTGGGTGGCCAGTATCTTTTTTTTTTTTTGCTGGTGTGTTTTATAAACAAATAGATCATAGTTTAATCTCCCTATGAAATGAGATTGAACGAAAAACTGCAGTGCCTAAATTAAAGGATCATTAAAATTGTTTTTTTTTTAAAAAAAGATTTTAAGCTTAAGATACAATCTTACTGATAAATATGTGCTTAAGTACTTCAGTCTTCATGTCTGGCTTATTTCACATTGCATGTTTTCAAGGTTCATCCATGTTGGAGCATGTATCAGAACTTCATTCCTTTTTATGGCTGAATAAATATCCCATTGTGCCTATATACCATATTTTGTTTATTCGTCCATTTGTTGATGGATACTTGGATTGTTTCTACCTTTTGGCTACTATGAATAGTAATGCTGCTAGGAACATTGGTTTGAGTCCCTGCTTTTAGTTCCTTTGGGTATATATCTATGAGTAGAATTGTCAAGTCATAGGGTAATTGCATGTTCAAGTTTTTGAGGAACCACCACGCTCTTTTCCATAGGAGCTGCACCATTTTACATTCCTACAAGCAATGTTATAAGGGATCCAGTTCCTTTTTTTAATTATTATTATAGCCACCCAGTACTGTGAAGTGGGGTCTCGTGATTTTGATTTGCATTTAATTTAATACAGTTTTATCTGCCTGAAATGCCACTATCCCTCAAACTAACAAAACTGATCATTTCTTCTTTGTCATAATTATATTTATATAGTTGCATGACTATAATTTGACAGTTGGATTCTTTTTTAATATTTATTTATTTATTTATTCATTCATTCATTCATTTTGTCTGCTCCGGGTCCCAGTTGTGGTATGTGGAATCTTGAGTTTCCTGACCAGGGATTGAACCCAGGCCATGGCAGTGAAAGCACTGAATCCTAATCACTAGACCACCAGGGTACTCTCCTACAATCTTTTCATTGTAGAGGAGGAAGAAGATACACATTTGACACTAAACTTATAATAAACCTATTTGTTCGTGACATAAATCATTTAAGGTTACAATAAAATTTGTTATATAGACCATCCTAGACTAGTTAGAAGCTTAAGTTGTAAATACATCTTGCAAGTAAAAAATTTTTTTAATTATTTATTTTCTTTATATTTTTGGCTGCACTGGGTCTTAGTTGTGGCACGTGGGATCTTTGTTGAGGCATGCGGGATCTTCCGTTGGGGCGCTCTGGCTTCTCTCTAGTTGTGGCGTGCGGGTTTTCTCTGTCTAGTTGTGGCGCGCGGACTCCAGAGCATGTGGGCTCTATAGTTTTGTGGCACGCGTGCTCTCTCGTTGAGGCGCGCAAGCTCAGTAGTTGTGGTGTGTGGGCTTAGTTACTGCCCCATGGCATTTGGGATCTTCCCAGACCAGGGATCGGACCCACGTCCCCTGCATTGGAAGGCAGATTCTTTACCACTGGACCACCAGGGAAGTCCCTGCAAGTAAATATTTTTACAATAAAATAATTCAGCTTTCTTAGAAGTAGTTTTAACACAAAGTATTAGGAAAGTCCGTCTTCTATTTATTTCTATCATGTCTTTTAGAGGGAGCTCATGCACAAAAAATACAAGGTCCACGAGTAAAGTCTTTTGTCTGTTTCTTTCACCGCCGTATCACCATTGTCTAAAATAGTGCCTCCGGTATAGTCCTAGGTATCTATATTATTGAAGGTTATGCTAGGTTAATGGGTCCAGATATTATGGATAGAAGTTTCCTTGTATGTTTAAAATGGGAGATTCTATATAACCTAATCACTCTTAGATGCGTTTCCCTTAATGCAGCTGAGGTGACTTGTTACTGTATATATAAACTACATTAAAATAAAAATATAAACACATTAAAGATACAATTTTTCAAATAAAGTTGCCCTTTATTTTGTTCAATTATAGGAAGCAGTGTGGTTCCTTTCCAACATTACAGCAGGCAACCAGCAACAAGTTCAAGCTGTAATAGATGCTGGATTAATCCCTATGATTATTCATCAACTTGCCAAGGTCAGTCATTGTTATGAGTTCATCGTGTCTGTTAATATAACCAAGACTGTTTGACCAAAAAATTCATTTTAACATTTCTTTTTTAACCTTCAGGGGGACTTTGGAACACAAAAAGAAGCTGCTTGGGCAATTAGCAACTTAACGATAAGTGGCAGAAAAGATCAAGTGAGTTTGGAAAAAAACTGTTAATAGTTGTTAATACTGGAAAGCATACTACTCTCTTAGGTTTAGGAGTTGTTGATTGTTTATTAGCCCCGTACTGTGTTCTTTTGGGGGAAAAGATAATTATATAAATAAGAGTATCTCTTCTCTTCTGTTGTCTAGGTTGAGTACCTTGTACAGCAGAATGTAATACCACCATTCTGTAATTTACTGTCAGTAAAAGATTCTCAAGTTGTTCAGGTGGTTCTAGATGGTCTGAAAAACATTCTGATAATGGCTGGTGATGAAGCAAGCACAATAGCTGAAATAATAGAAGAATGCGGAGGTAAGAGGGTTGATTAAAGAAAAATAGTTGAGCACTGGAACTCTGAAACATTAGTTCCTTTACAGACAGCTAATTAGAAAGAAAACTTAGGATATATTGCTATTAATATTAACAGCATCCGAGGATGTTGCTATTCTTTGTTTGCTATATTAGTAGTCCAAGAAGATTTTCCAGAAAACAACCGGTTGTGAAAGTCACGCCATAACATTCCTAGAGATTGACAATGCTTTTCAGGAAACACAAATACTCCTCCTGAAGTCACATTGCATAAGAGCAAATTAAAAGCTCTGAAAACCACTATAATAGAGAAACTTACATGCTTTGTTTAATTCGGCATTTCTCAAACTCCTTGACAGTAAAACACTTGTTTTCATATTATACCTATTATCATGTGATTCTGTGGACCTCACTTTGTGAAATACTATTCCATATATTGGAATAGGTTATGGAAAAGGATAATGATTTCACAGTCATCTAGATATTTTGTTTCAGTCTTATGATTGCTAGAACTCCATGCTAGGGTTATTACTACAGAAATTACTTTGAAATTTTAATAAGAAAGAACTGTGATTTGAAATACTATATCATTATTTTCTCTGGTAATGACATATGAAGCATATATTTTAAAATTCTGTTTTTAAAGGTGCCTGTTCAATGTGTACTAAATTGCTCAAACCTTAAATTAACTTATCTTAATGTCATGTTTTATTTTATACGTTTTGTTGACTAATTTGTTCGATTATACTACCGAGTTTATTTTTTTAAGAGAAAACAAATGTGATAGCATCATAGAATGTTCAGACTGGAAGTATTTTCTTAATAACAAGAAGAAAATATTCTGGAGATGTTAAGGAGTTTTGTCCATGGTCAGGGAAGTAGTTAGTGATAGGAGCATAATTAAAAGCCAGATTTTCTTACTGTACTACTGTTACTTCACTGTTTATTGTTTTAAGATGTTTTACTTTTTAAATAATTTGAAATGAACATTGTAGTCTGGTTCAGAACAACTTAACCCAGAGAGTTTGAGCTTGTTACTCCAGCTTTTTATCAAGATAGTTGCTTCTGTCTATGAGATAAATACTTATAATTAAGATACATATTTACTTAGCATTTTATGATTTTATAAGGTACTCTACATGCATTATCTTTGACACCGATTTTCCCATTTTTCTGGTTTGAATATTACTATATAAAAACTGAAACTATTTCAAAATAACTTAGCTAAAAAGACATTTCAAGGAAGAATATTTATTACTAAGGATTTAATAGACTTATGTACATGATACATGGAGTAAATATATTGGGAATATAAATAAAGGCAATCTATAGTTACTTTTCTGAAAAAATATTTCCCAGATTCACTGTAGCTATAGGACGTAAGCACCCTGTTCATTTTTTTTTTTTTTTAAAGAAATTATTTCAGGGACTTCCCTGGTGGTCCAGTGGTTAAGACACTGTGCTTCCACTGCAGGGGTCATGGGTTCGATCCCTGGTTGGGGAAGTTCCACATGCCCCATGATGCGGCCAAAAAAAGAAAAAAAAGAAATTTACTTCAAAATTTAAAGCTTTATCTTATATTTACATCAATCATTAAGTAACATTTGGAAAACAAAGAGAAGGATAAAAATTACTGTATGCAACAGTATGATTATATTAAAGGAGTCCTGGGGCGGGGGGGTGGCAGAGATCTTGGTTCTAGTTCTGTCGCTAACTTGCCATGTAACCTGAAATAAATCCCTTTACATCTCTTTGCCACAGCTTCCTCATCTGTCAAATGGGGTATTTAGGTGTTTTTTAAGCTGCCTGCCTCAGGGACCAGGATACCTCTAGGGCTTCTAAAGAGGAAGAAATTAGTGGGATGCTGGCCCTCTAACCAGAGCAGCTCAGGGTTTTATCTGTATTTTAGATGAACTGTCATCTTTGGAGGGTGGTGGGAGGGTGTTCTGAGTTCTTTAGGATTTTCCATGATTACAATGAGCACAGTTTTTATGAGTATGTACCTAATTGTTTTGACTATTTTATTTTTATCAGGTTTGGAGAAAATTGAAGTTTTACAGCAGCATGAAAATGAAGACATATATAAATTAGCATTTGAAATCATAGATCAGTATTTCTCTGGTGATGATGTAAGTATGTATTAAAGTATGATATGTCTACGTGTACATTAAAATCTATACATAAAGTAAGTTTTCTAAGAGTTTTCCATGACTAAATTTATACTGTATTTCTGTCACCTTGTTGCTTTTGTGGTTTGTTAAATGGGAAGAAATGGTAATTATAGAAATGATGTATGTTCAGATAGGTAGAGTAAATCTACAGATACAGGAACTAAAGCATGGGGCAATTTTTAAATGTGTGTTCAATTTTTAATTGTTAGATTTCTTAATAGCATTGTTGATTTACTTAAAATACTTTTTAGGTGACAAAAACATTCATATGGAATTCTCTCCTAAGAAGTAAATCAATTCCGCTTACACTGTAATGTGTAGTATCTTAACATAATAAAGATTTTTTTTCTTGTTTATTATAGATTGATGAAGATCCTAGCCTCATTCCTGAAGCAACACAAGGAGGTACTTACAACTTTGACCCAACAGCCAACCTTCAAACAAAAGAATTTAATTTTTAAGTTCAATTGAGTGCAGCATCTTTCCCACATTCAATATGAAGCACCACCAGATGGCTACCAAATGACAAGAACAACAAGTACAAAAGGCTCCAAAACATACATGCCTCTTTGTTTTGATGCTTCTAAAGCAAGCCATGTCTCAGTCACTTTGCAGTTGCCAAAAGTCACTATCCACATGGACTGTAAATGCATATGCATGATTTCCTAAACTGTTTTAGAATTCTCCTTAACAATCTCAACTACCCTATTTCTCCCTGTTCCCTGGTGCCACACGCTGACAACCGCAGTCTCCAGTTTAGAATATTCTGTAGTGGTGGCATGTCAGCTGCCCACTTGATATTCCTTTGGAAAATGGTGCGCTATGGATCAAGACACTTTGGTATGACACATACACATGTTGGAAGACTTTAAAGAGGTGCAGTCTGATCTGAGCCTCCATCATTGTCCTCCACAAACATATTTTCATACTCTTTATGTGGAAGAATAGATTTTAAAGTACAAGCCAAATGATTTTCATTGGTGGAACTGACACAAACAAAAAGTAACTTAAAAAAAAGAAACTTGGTTATTGATTAAACAGATAAGTTTTAAAAAACTGTACTTCATCTACCAGTAATTGATGTGTTTATTATCTGCCTCAGAAGCCAGGGTTGGAGGAAGAACTTTAGCTATGGATGGTAATGCTTTCGCCATTATACCTAATTTTTGAGAACAGCAAGCCCTATTTGACCACTCACTTCAGCCTGTGTGTTCCTGCTGTTTTGAAGTAATCAAATGCTGTGCATGGTATTTTACCTGAGCTGCAACCTGTTACGGACTTGAACTTCTGTTTAAGTTGAAAGCAAGAGTCCCTGACTATAAAGAAAAAAATAAATAAAAACAAAACCACAAAATTCTAAAGTACCCATTGGTGATATTAAAAAAGAAAATCTTGCTTTCAGCTTTCAGGAGTTAATATTTTTCGTTTTAAATTGATAATTGGGTATGGTTGATTTATATTGGGTTTAAACTGTGGAGCTTTCATGTTTACTGTAATTTAGTCTTAAAATATTTTTTCTTAGTAACCAGTGCTTTTGATAATGTGGTTGGCAACAAAACAACAACTATTTAGAAGTATCATAAAACTTCATTCGTTGATTATTGGAAAGTTCATTCAGATCCTACTCTAAAAGCATATTCACATATAAAGAGATTCAGATAAGGATCTGCATAGAGGAATAATCTGCAGTTATTTAACATAAACCTGATTTGCAGTGATCTTTAAGTAATTCTGCAAAATCTGGTATTACTTTGTAAAGTCATTGCTTTTGGTAAATTGTCTGACCCAGCTATTCATGAAAGAATTTGAAATTTTTTAAACTGAATAATTTGTGCTGTCACAGGAATGGTTTTATTGCTATTGTTTACTGGGTATAATTTCCCAATGAATTGATGTGAAGGGATAGAAAATCTAAACTAAGTTAGTTATCCGATGGGGGGGGTGTGTATTTACTGTGATGAAGATGAGACAGATGCCATCAGAGCTTTGTGAATCAGCGGGGGTGTTTTCACTGATAAACAACACATAGCAGGTGTGCATTCATTACAAATATATGTATCTGCCAAGGTGGAGCCACTTTAAAGAGTGAGTTTTGTCTTGTATCTAAAGTGGATACAAGAGTATGTTTAAACTGCAAGATTTTTACTTGCTAGAGAATCTGTTTTAATATAGTGGTTTGGCCTCTGATTATTTATAGGTTTTATAAATTTTAGAATCAATTTTCTCTTTAAGGTGGCTCAGATTTTTCAACTCTTGTGCACATAAAATTGAGTTGAAGTTCATTGTGCCTTTTTTTCTTTATCCAAATTTTGAGTTAAAGCTTCATATGGTAACTGCATCCTGTTCAGTAGTCTAAATTTTTGAAACTGTGTGGTGTTCACTAAAAGTAGGAATAACAAAGTCAAAGCTAATTAAGGTCACAAACTTCGGTGAAACCCTTGAAGTCCAAATCTTCTCAATATTGTGAATTGTACCCCTTCCAGTTTACTTTCTTCTGGACTCTCCATACTTACTGACAGTTACCTCTTAAATTTTGCACACATTAAGATTAAATTGGGCCTCTACTGTGCCGATTCCTATTTCCTCTTGTGTTTTAAGTGCAAACTAACATAAGTGAACATTAGCATCAAGTAGTGCAGACTTACGTATGCATTGGCTTGATCCAATTTGTTGTGACCTTATCAGTTTGGAAATGGAAATGCAAAATTTCGTAGGTAAGGGAAACTAAGTATATTGCTGCACTTTTAAGTTTTCAAAACAGTGTTGAAAAATTGCATTGTTTTTATTTTTTTTTAACTCGGTTAAAAAAGACTAAAACATTCTTTCAAAAGAGGCATCTAAATGTGTTCCTAATTTTGTATATGGGCTTAGGTTTTGTAACCAATAAAAAAGCTGCTATCAAATATGGTAAAACATTGAAGAACTTATCTTTGAAAGTATCTTAATTTCCTTCTGCCTTCATTCATCACATGGTGTTCTCTCTATGTATCTCAGGTTTAAATACCACAACTCATAGAAAGGCCATTTGAGATGATAGTGTAATTATGACTTTCATAAAACAAAAATTCAAGCTTTATTTAAGGCCTGTCTAATCCTTGAAAACAAGAACTTTGGAAGATAGTTATTGAAGTAAGGTTGAGGCTCTAAATGAAATCTTGGATTAATTGAAAGAACAAAGGAGCAGCCAAACTTTTTAGTATACAGGTATTTTTACTTTCATATAATGACACTTCAAAGTATTTTTGAAAGAACTCAGTATATAAGTAAATGAGTTACAATACTCCTATTTAATCTTGCCATAATTTACTTCAGAAGGGTTGTCCTTCTGAGGAGATTAATTAATTAATTATTGCAAGTAAAAATTTGTGAATGTCAGTTGTCTTACAGTGATGGTTATGAATTTTCTTAACCCTAGTTGAACTGGGGGTTTTAATTAAATCTATTTGGAGAAAGGGAGTATAATTTCTGTACATTAAGCTGTAAGTCTTAAGGCATATAGGCCAAGGAGTTCTCTCTTTTACCCACCAGTCATTTGTCTAAAGTGTAAAAGGAACTCTTCATATAAATGTTGTACTTAGTTAAATAACTGAAAAACAGTGGTAGAATGCTTCTCAAAAGCACAGTATATAGATGAGGTTCTATCTGTACATACCTATATACAGTTGACCCTGGAACAACATGGGTTTGAACTGCATGGGTCCACGTATGTGTGGATTTTTTTCAGTAGTAAATACTATAGCACTACACGATCGGCAGTTGGTTGAATCCTCGGATGTGGAACCACTTACACAAAGGAACTGCTGTATGGAGAAACTGCGTATATGGAGTGCTAACTATAACTTACAGGCGGATTTTCGAATATGTAGAGGCACAGCACCTCTAACCCCTGCGTTGTTCAAAGGTCAACTATATAGGTGGGCTCAGTACTCTATAAAGAGAAAGTGTTTAGGAAAAGGGATGTGGGAATGCAGGCTGTTCACATCCTTAGCCTCTTCATTTGCCCATAAAATTCCTCAACTAACTTTAACGTAAGTCGGGGTTTTTCAAACCCTTCAATATTGACATTTTAGGGAATTCCCTGGAAGTCCAGTGGTTAGGACTCCGCATTTTCACTACTGTGGGCCCAGGTTTGATCCCTGGTCAGTGAACTAAGATACCGCAAGTTGCACAGTGCAGCCAAAAAAAAAAAAAATTGACATTTTAGGCTGGATAATTCTTTGTTGTGGGAGGCTGTCCTGTGTATTGTAGGGTGTTTAGTGGCATCCTTAGGCTCTGCCCACTAGCTGTGGGTAGTACGTCTCCACTCTCCAAGGCAGGACAACCAAAAATGTCTCAAGACACTGCCAGATGTTTCCTGGGGGCCAGAACTGCCCCAAGGTGTGAACCGTTGGCCTAAATCAATTCAGGTAGAAAACTTCTCCAAAGGAGAGAGCCTAAATCATGCCTTTTTGTTGTATGAATAGTGCCAGCCTTTTTTTCAGATACATAAGATTAAAAAATGAGACAAAAATGTGCCTTTTCTTCATTCTCAGTTTTAGGAGAAAGCAGAGCTATACCTAGCCACATTTCCCAAATCCCCTGTGGGTAGTGCTGAGCCCATCTACTGCAAAGGACTTGGATAGGAACGGGAATGTGGACTAGTTACCCTCTTAAATGTATCCTGTGGCTAAAAGAAGTGTGAAACAACCAAATGTGTTGATTGCCCTTTGTCTTCTCAGCACTGCCCTGTAGCAGTGTTTTTCAAACATTTTTAGTTGAAGATCTTGAAGTTCTCTGAGAAAGCTGGGGTTGGAGCAGAAAAATCACAGCATAGTTTGAAAAACACCTCTTTGAAGCATTATGAGAGAATGGCCTCATCAGGAGACTTACAAGTTTATTAAAAATGATTAAAAGCAGGGGATCAATGGCTGAGCAGAGCTATAAAGGATGTGTTCCCTGCAGGGAATTTCTTCTACAACATCCCTCTTCCCAACTCTGAAGAACTGCCTGCCATCCACCTTCTTGAGTAATTCCCTTTTTTAAAGCTGTGGTCCCCGGAAGAAAAATGGGACCTTGTGCCAAGTAATGTGTGAAGCCGCAAGAGAAACCGGCCATCTTCACAGGACAGCCATTTTACTTGATGGTAAGGAAGACAGTTTTATGATACTGTAAGCCTAAGTGTTAGAGAGTAAAGGACACATTTTGCATAATGTTTTAAAGATAAAATCAGATTTTTTTTGAGGCAGGCCATTTTTATGGACACATTCCTACAGGACTAGGAGTCAGAAGAGTTTGAGAAGTAAATGGTGAGGCACTCACTCCAAGTGGGCCAGTTCTACTTGTGGAATAGCTTCAGTTGTGACCAGGTCTTTTCTTAATATTGAATAGAAGTCACCACTCTTTTTTTTTTTTTTTTTTTGCGGTACGCGGGCCTCTCACTGCTGTGGCCTCTCCGGTGTGGAGCACAGGCTCCAGACGTGCAGGCTCAGTGGCCATGGCTCACGGGCCCAGCCGCTCCGCGGCATGTGGGATCTTCCCGGACCAGGGCACGAACCCGTGTCCCCTGCATCGGCAGGTGGACTCTCAACCACTACGCCACCAGGGAAGCCCAACCACTCTTAAATGACCATCATTATAAATGAACTGTTCTCGATTCTGAGTAGACTTCTAGTTATTCCCAAATAGCAGAAGACACAGATCTGTTTTTATCAGCTTCCTTCTTCAACCTGAACACTCCATGCATTTTAGCCAACCTGCTTATAAAGTCCTTCCTGGACCTGGTTCCTGTCGGCTTCGCGAATTCCAAGGACCCCACGAATAGAGTGTGGTGTGGCTAGTTTCTGGGTACAATGGAACGGGAACGTTCCATTATCTGGCCATTTAATATTGTTAATGTGGAGGAGATTGTTTCAATTATTTTACAAGCTTCATCACAATTAGATTTGTGATCAAGTAACAGCCTCAGTTCCCCTTGTCTTCAGCTCTCTTCTTCCCAGTAGTTAGGCATGTACATTTTTCACACCTAAATAGAAGAATTTATAAATTTCATTTTATTGATTTCAGCCCACTTTTCTTCATAATAAGAAAAGATTCCATATCTATATGTATCCTTTCCATGTCTTCAGTCTTTTATAAGTAAGAATTTTGACTAAGCCTTTAGGAACATTCAAATATTTCTTGAGCATCCTATCTCCAGCCAGGTACTGTGCTAGGGCGCGGGGTCCACACACATGAATAAAAGTAAAAAAGTTATGACAAATGTTAGAAAAAAGAGATACACAATGATACGTAATAGAGGGAATCAGCCTCGTTAGGAAGGTGATAATCAGGCTGGCAGTGAGTTCTTACTAAGTGCCAGCCACTGGCTTGAGTGCTTGAGAAGTACCAACTCGGTCCTCAACAACTCTGGGCTGAAGGTTCTATCATCAGGCAGAGGAAAGTTATGTTTGCCAAAAATTACACAGCTTATAGTGGTGAAGGAAAAGCAGAGTTAATAGGGCAGATTCACTGGAAACTTTTCTGGCAGAAGAAACAGTACATACAAAGTAGGAAGCAGCATGGGGGTCCAGGGAGGGAAAGAAAGTACAGCTGGAGCCAAGATGATAGTGGGGAGGAGGACTACCGGGGCAGGGGAGGGGCTGAAGGGAGAGGCAGGTGCTAGACCACACGCCTGTAAGTCATGGAAAGAAACTTTGGTGTTCTAAGAGCAATGGTAAATCATTATTAGGCAAGAGTGATGATAGAATTGTGTTCAGTAACAATCATTGGCTGGTAAGGTAAGGACAGGAAATGTACTTTGGGTTTAATGATGTGTCAGGTCGAAATAGTGTGAAGCCCTGAAGTAAGAGATGGTGAACAGCGGGTGGGATCAAGAGATACTTGGCAGCTAAAACAGACAGGAGTAGGTGATTCTTAGATCTGGAGTTTGGGGAGAGGGAAGTATCAAGGATAATTTCTGTGTTTCTGGGTTGCTGTAACTGATGAATGTAAATAGAGTATGATAAGCAACACTGAGGGGGAGTTCCCTGGTGGTACAGTGGTTAGGACTTGGTGCTTTCACTGCCATGGCCTGGGTTCAATCCCTGGTCGGGGAACTAAGACCCTGCAAGCCTTGAGGCGAAGCCAAAATACAAAAAGAAAAAGGAAAAAGATAAGCAACACTGAGAGAGACTCAGACATAGGGAGTAGAGGGTGATGAATTCAGTTTGGATTGTGTTGAGTGGAGACATCCAAATGACGGTCAAGGAGGGCAACTGGAAATACTGGTCTGGGGCTCAGAGGAGGGGGCCGGGCTAGAGATTTGAATCCCCTATTTTGGTGATTAGTAAAGCAGGAAGTGAGGGTGAGACTGCCTGGGTTCAGCATTTGGAGTGAGAACAGGGCTTAGGACTGAAGTTCCAGCATTCAAGGGGCATGTAGAGGAGGATGAGCTTGCAAAGGAAACAGAAGGTATGGTTAGGGAGGGGGGAAGAAAAGCTGTGTGTTTTCTCAGAAAACTGAGGAAAAAGAGATTTCAGTGCCCGGTGATGCTGTTGAGAGGTCAAGTAAGGTAAGGACAGGAAATGTCCTTTGGTTAGCGATGCGGAGGTCACTGGTCACCTTAGTGAGAGCTGTTATCACTGCAGTGATGAGGGTGGAAACTAGAGTAGGCAGGACTGAGGAAAGGGCAGAATATGAAGACAGTGAATCTAATCAGTTTCTTAGGCTTTTATTTTGCTCAGAAGGGGAACAGGGCAGGATAGTCGCTAAAGAGTGGTGTGGGGAAATTGATGGGGGAAATCCAGTTGAGAAAGACATTGAATATACAAGAGAAGAGCAGTCATCAATTTTCCAAGTTACAGGAGAGAATCCAAGGCATAGGTGGCAGGATTGGCCATACTCCTTCAGTCAGCAGTTATTTAATTGGGCAGCTAGTATATGTCAAACTCTGTAATAGGTGCCAGAGATACAGCAGTAACCAAGCCAGACACCTGGCCTTGTGGAGCTTATACTCTAGTGGCAAGAGACTAACAATACATGTATAAATAAATAATTTCATCTAGTGTTAACTGCTATGTAAAAAATGATACGGAGTAACTAAGGGGGAAAGTTTTTGAATTTGTGTTCGATGCCAGAAATCATTTTTTAAATTGTGTAAAATACACATAAAATTTCCCATCTTAAACATTTGCAGGTGTGTACAGTTCAGTAGTGTTAAGTGTATTTATATTGTTGTGCAACCACACTCCAGAACTTTTTCATCTTACAAAACTGAAACTCTATAGCCATTAAACAAGTCACCTTTTCTCCCTCCCCCTAGCCCCTGGCAAATACCATTCTGTATTTCTGTCTCTAGGAATATGCCTACTTTAGGTGCTTCATATAAGGGGAATCATGCAGTATTTGTCTTTTTGTGACTGGTTTATTTCACATAGCATAATGTCCTCAAGGTTCATCCATGTTGTAGCATATCAGGATTCCCTTTTTATGGCTGAATAATATTCTATTATATGTACAAACCACATTTTAAAACAACAAATGACTTTTTAGCATAAGTACCCTAGTTATATGCTGGTATAAGTATATACTTAAAATTTCACTTTTTAAAAAAATCTGAAATTCAAATTTATCTGGGCATTCTATATTTTACCTGGCTACTCCAAATTGAAAACGCAGGCTTGATCAATAAGGGTTACAATCTTTTTAAACTCTGACTTCTTTGAGCACTTGAGAAAAATGTGTATTCTGTTGTTTTTGGATGGAAAAGGTTAAACATGGTGATCGGAACAAAGGGGCACGTCACTGAAGGAGAGCTATACAGTCGTCCCTCGGTATCCACAGGACATTGGTTCCAGAAGACCCCGTGTGTACCAAAATCCGTGCACGTTCAAGTCCCATTAGTTGTCCCTTCCTATCCACAGATGCGAATCCTGCGAATATAGAGGGCCGACTGTAGTTGTTAATATATATTAAGTATCTACTCACACTGCAGGGTCAAAAAGCAAAGGCCTTGGGGACACCCATTCATGGGCTCTGGCCTCGGCCCAGCCACTGAGCGTCCTTAGACAAATTATTTAATGTCTGAGCCTCTTTTCACATTTGTAAAATAAGAAAACACTGAACTCCTAGGGTTGTTGTGAAGATAAGATACCACAGGTAAAAGTATCTAGTACCAAGCTGATGTGGCCTATTTCTCCTCTCCCTCATACTCTTGCTGCTTTTTGGATTTAAAAAAAAAAAAAATTTTGGCTGCGTTGGATCTTCGTTGCTGCGCGTGGGCTTTCTCTAGTTGCGGCGAGCGGGGGCTACCCTTTGTTGCGGTGTGCAGGCTTCTCATTGCAGTGGCGTCTCTTGTTGCGGAGCACTGGCTCTAGGTGCCCGGGCTTCAATAGTTGTGGCACACGGGCTCAGTAGTTGTGGCTCGTGGGCTCTAGAGCACAGGCTCAGTAGTTGTGGTGCACAGGCTTAGTTGCTCTGTGGCATGTGGGATCTTCCCAGACCAGGGATACAACCCGTGTTCTCTGCATTGGCAGGCGGATTCTTAACCACTGCGCCACCAGGGAAGTCTCTGCTTTTTGGATTTTTAAGATATAGGGTCAGAGTAAGCCACAAGGGCTTTAAAATGCCTAGTGGTGGTTGCTTGCAAGAGCCTAATTAGAATCTTTTGTCCCTAAAATTCTCCCCCCTCTATTGGCAAAATTTCCACCATCTGGATTTCACTTTGTGGTGTAAGGCTTTGAACCTTGTTAAAAATCACACTGCGTCAAATGGTGTGGCCCTATTACCAGCCCTTCGGGCGTGGTCTGGTAATAGGTTTGGTTCCGGCAGTAAAGCGAGGAGGTGAGCACGTTCCTGGCTTAAGAAAACCTCCGGGCTCTGGTAGCCAGCGACTCGGCGGGGCGGCCGGGCGGCCGGGTAAGCCTCCGTCCGCTCCGCTCCGCCCCGTCCCGGCCGAGTAGCCCCGCCCCCTCGCCGCCCCGCTTCTCCCGGCGCACCGGGCAATCCTCGTTGTTGGTGCCCCGCGGTCGGCGCCGGGAGCAGAAAGCATGCGCGGCGACTGGGAACTGGGCGCCGCGGCTGGAGGCCCGCTGCTGCTGTGCGCCGCGCTGCTGGCCGTGGGCTGCGCACTGGGTCTGCGCCTGGGCCGCGGGCTGGGGGCTGCGGACCGCGGGGCGCTAGCCTGGCTCTGCTTCGACGCCCTGGTGCACTTCGCGCTGGTAAGTGTGGTCGCCTCGGCATTGAAAACGCGGGCGGACGCCGCCTCTCTTGGGACCCTTCCCTCCCTCGTCCCAGAGAGTTTCCAGAAAACGACATGGACGACTCGGCCGCCCCGTCCCCTGTGGCGGGAGACCCGGGAAACCTCTGGAGGCCGCGGTGCCCGTGGCCTTTGGCCAGATGCCACACCTCTCCGAGGTCCCAAGTCTGTAAAAAGAGAGCGCAGCCTCCCTATGGTGCCAATTCCTCTACCAAAGAAAAAACAAAAAATCAGAAAACCGTGAAAATTGTTATTCGTGTACGGTGTTGTTAGTCGGTTTGTAAACTACAGAAAGGCCTGGCTTACTTAATATCTTATCCTGCACATAAATGTTGAACGTAATTGAGAGAGTTTTTGAATGCCCCAGAGGGAGCAGGGAGAGGTGATGAGGCGTGCTGGGCCCTGGCCCAAAACCAGCCCCCCGCCCCACAATAGTAATCACCATTTGTTGGGTGACGACTGTATGCAGGCACAGTACTGTGTTTAAATTTTCTGACCTATGAACACCCCGTAAGGTACTTGTTACTGTCCCCATTTTACAGAGGAGAAAACGGGCCCTGCAAAGTTAGGTGACTTTATAGTGCCACACAACTGGCATGATTCAGAGTCAGGTTTAGTCTGGCTCCAAAGCTTGCACTTTCTTTCACGCCGGGCTTTAGGAAACATATCCTTAAAAGTTCAACTCACTTTATAAATGGCCAGGACGGTTGTATTTAAGGGATTCTATTGAAAATGCTCCCCTCCCTGTGCACGCACTTCTTATTTTAAAGCTTTGTTTAAAACTATGCCACAATATCTTTTTTTGCAAATTTGACCTTGCTTAAATCTAGGCAAACCTATAGCTAATGTGAAGCCAGAGTCTATACAATCCATCCTCCTCGGCAGCTGCGGATTCAACCAGTGGAGAATAGAAAATACCAGAAAGAAAAAAAAATCCAGAAATTTCCAAAAAGCAAAACTTGCATTTGCCACCCTCACAGCCTACTTCCCCGCAGTATCTTTAATGTGAGGCATTAAAGATAAGCTAGAGAGGAGTTAAAATATAAGGGAGGATGTCAGGTTCTATGCAGATACTACTCCATTTTTACCTAAGGGACTGGAGCATTTGCGGATTTTGGTATCCCCAGGGGTCCTGGAAGCAATCCACCTGAGGATACTGAGGGAGAGATGGAGTATTAAGAAAGAGAAAGCAAAGTTTTGGATAATCATCTAGGGCTATAGATGTTTATCCGTTGAATATGTGCACATACCAGATGTTGCTGGAATGATGAAATTCCTTCTTTCCTAATAGTCAACTTGTGGAGATAACAGTAAATACTTCCCTTAACTCCTTTATTTATAGAATTGATTTTTAAGCTGTCAGTGAACACAAGGTGTCCCAAAGAACAGGGACAGTAAAACAGGTTGCTAGGCCCACTTAAGAGAGTATTATATTTTAGACACACAAAAAAGTTATAAAAACACTAAAACATATACATACATGTCTTCCACCTGGTTTAAAATTAATTCTACTTTTTACTCACAGACTGTGACAGGTAGCACTACACACATCTCCATTTGTGGCAACTTGAGGTGTAGCCCCATGGGTGGAATCATTGCTCCACTCTCCCCCGTCCTTGTTCTGAAGGAAATGCCTCCCTGCCCCCACCCACGGCCCCATCTTGTGCCATTTACCTGTCCCAGCTGCAAAACATCCCACTGTTTGCACCATATCTTAGTTCTTTAATTCTAAAATGCACATTTTTTCGCATGTTGCAACAATGAATGACGTAACCGCTGTGGCTTCTTTTGTTGATATTTTATGTCTCTGAGATTGGGATATATCTTACAATTGATGAAGAAATATGATAAATAAAAACAGGCCCGTTAATATTGGCTGGTTAAATTTACTATTTACACACTATTTCAACCAGCATCTTGGTACACAAGTCTTAGAGATTGGTGAGAAGGCACTTGACTAAGTGGTTGAGGCCTGCAAGACAAATGCATGTCCGTATTATCTTTGGGATAATTGGGAGTTCGTTGCAAGAATACCTAGAAATGTGGCAGGAGCTAAGATTGGAATGTAGAGGCTGGAGGAGATCTGAAACCACAACTCACTTGTTCCCACTAGAACCTAAGCTGCTTCTCCTCACTCCTTTTGCCTTTACTTCTCAAATAGAGGAGATGTTTGGGTTTGTTGGCCGCCATCAAATGCAGAGCTCCCCTATTGGACAGAGTTTCAGGCCAAGCATTCCCAGGGGTAGTTCACCTCCCAGATGTCCAGCCAGACTGTGGTTATTCGGGGCTGCAGAACTGACCTTCAGTTTAGTCAGCTATGGCTAAGATGAAGGTCTGGTTCGTTTCTCATCTGGTAGGAGCCATGGTCACATACGTGAGGAAATCAATGGCATGACTCACCATCCCTCAAAAGTTGGCAATAGGCATTTCTTGCACTGGTGCTTCATGGGTTTTCCCTCATCTGCGATCTAAGTATAGCATTCTAGGCATGGCCAGAGCCTGGAAGCAGGATGTGTACTCCTATGTTTGGGAAACATCTGGAAGTCCAGATTGATTAGAGCACAAGATTTACATAGGGTAAGATTCCAGCAACATCTCTCCAACTGACAAACATCTACAGACCTAGACGATTATTGAAAACTTTGCTTTCTCTTTCTTTCTCAATACTATAATCCTCCTTTGGTATGCATGGTAGGTTGCTTCCATGACCCCTGAGGATACAAAAATCCTCAAATTCTCAAGTCCCTTATATAAAGTGGGAGGACAGGCAGGAAAGGGAACTTGAATGACAGGTAAGACTTGGAGTTTTATTCTGTGGTAGGAAGCCATTGAAGGGTTTCAAGCAAGGAAGTATGGCCAAAGTAGATCTTTCAAAAGATAGTTTGGTGGTCGTGTAAGTCAAACTGTAAGGGGTCTGAGATTTTACCCTTCTTACAAGTTAAACAAGTTAGCCTGTTTGATTCCCCAAGCTCCACGGGGCAATACAGTGAGGGCCAGATGATATCTGCGCATGCTGGGGGTGCATTACAGGAGAAAACCCCCAAATTAGGCTCCTTTCTTATATGGAGCTGCTGGTGACCTGCTCGTACTTCTCTCTGGAGAGAGACTGTATCTTTCCTCAGGCATGAAAACAAATCTTCTCTGGGGAAGAGGAGGCAAGGTCTTTTTCTCAGGAGGGAGATGTCTCTAAGCTCTACTTCCCTGGAATGTCTCCTTACATAAATATTCTTAAATTATCTGTAAATGCCTGTGCTCAGACATCCCAGACAGTGCAGGACTAGGAGATAGTCAAGGAGAATTGTCTCCCAACAGGTGCAGGGTGGATTGGAAAGGACAGTTCAGGGGCAAGAAGATCAGCTAAAAGCAATTGCAGTATTTTAGGAGTGAGAAGAAAGAGCTGAGCTAAGGTGATGGTGGAAGTTAAAACGGGGAGGAAAGATAAATACGAGAGACTTTGCAGGGGAGAATTTTGTAAGTCAAATTGACCCCTTTTACATTGTGGGTGGAGATGATCTTGGGGTTTAGAACCTGGCCGACATGGATAATGTTGATAACGTTAACAAAGACAGGAAAGTCGGATTTTAGAACTGTGAATCTGGGGCTGGGGGTGTGGTTGAGGGGAAATGGCCAGAAGGCATTGAAAATGTAAGACCTGTTGGGAAAACAGGGCAGAATAGAGAGTTGGAAGTTCTTCACTGCCTTGGAGGAGACAACAGGAAGCCCTGGGGATGAGTGACTTCTGAGTAAGAGAAAACAGAAAGGTGAAAAGGCTGAGGGATGACAGCAGAGTCTTTTAAAATGTCTGCATTGAACAATCAGGGAGAGGAAGATCAGGAAGTGGAGAAAGTGGGAAAGACCAAGAACAGGATAGTGCTGGGTCCTGGGACCCAAGGGAGGGAATTTCAAGATCCCTGTTAAATGTGCAGCACCATTTAAAAAATTAAAATTTAACATTTAAAAAAAGGTGAAGACTGAGCCAGGGCCTCTGGGACCAGCCATCAGGAAGCCAGTGGTAGAGTAGTATTGCTTGAATGGAGGGACCAGGAGCCAGAGGCAGAGGCTTAGCAGGTAGGATAGAGAAGAAGTGGAGGCTGCATATGCAAGACCTTCAGGAGATTTGGTGGTGGGAGCAAGGAGAGTGTAGGAAGACACCGGCTTAAAGAAAAATGGACAATCTAAGGGTTTTGAGTTTTATTCAGGGACCTTACTGAAGACTATGGGCCAGGAGACAACCTCTTGGGAGCTCTGAGGAAACTACTCCCAAAAGATGGGGGAGAAACCAGCTTGTTTATGGTTTTTGGCTCGGGAATACATGCAGTCAGCCTACATCTTGGTAAAAGATCACTGCTAGTCTCAAAGAGCAGATATCTCCAGTTAATGATATCAGTGCTTTTCCATGTATAGGAAGATGCAGGGATCTGGCTCTTAAAAATTCTTCCTGAGATATGCGTCTAACTACCTATGGGGCCTGTTTTTCTGAAGCACAGAGTGTCTTACCCTGTCTTTCATCCCAAGTTCCTCTCAGGGTACCTGTCAGCAACTGCAGTGGCTATTGACTTAATTCTTGTAGGGCTGGGAGCTCAGCAACACCCTTTGTTCTTCTTTGTTTACAAAGGAAAGCTCAAAAGACAGGCAGGGGCAGGCAAGAGACTCTGGGTTTAAGATGGGAAGGTCTGAGCCTGTTTGTGAGCAGGAGCCTGGTCAAGGGGAGAGTGAAGGGCAGAGGCGTGTGCGCACAGACACGGTGTGCTGCTTGGCCCCGTGAACTGACCTCCAGCAGAGCTGCGTCCGCCTGAGTCTACCACTTGTCCTCTGCTCAAGCCCCTTGACTAGTCATTCCCACCTTTTCATCACTGTGGAGCACGACTTGGGCTTGTCCGTCAGGGTGCAGGGCAGTTGTCACAGAAAATCTGGGCTGGGTAGTCTCTCCATTCATTCTGCCTTAACACCCACGGGTAGTCT